AAGATGATTAACGTTGAGAAATGTCTCAATTGAGTTCAATCATAAACTATGAACTAAGTAGTGACTTCGTTCTGCAATCTCTATCAGAGAAAGCTGTTCATAACTAATTATGAATTTAACGTGAATAAGCTTGAATGCAAAATTATTAAGTTGCTTAACATGCTTAGGATTGTTAAGCCCTTTATCAAAGTTGGTAGTGGGCAAACCATTGATTCCTTTAAAGATATTAAGAGGAAGTCTAAAGGGGCTTTATGAAAGCATCCAACATGGTTAAGACAATCTAAGTGAAGGACAAATATCAAAACGAATGACCATTGTTTTCATTGTAGAATGAAAGGTCATTGGTAGGAATATAGTGTGGCTTATGTCTACTTCATGAGTTTCTTAGGTATTTGATACTAGATGTAAATCTCATATTTGTACAAATATGGAGAAACTAAAAAGAAGTAGACTACTGTGAAAGGGAGAAATTGACATACACGTTGGAGATGAGCAAAGATTGCTGCATTGCCTGTATGAATATACTTCTTGTCATTACCTTTTGGTTTAGTATTGGAATTAAAGAAACGTCGCTTTATACCAACCATAGCTGGAACATTAAAATGAATTTCATGTTCCAACATGAACTATTTTAATGTTTAGGACAATAGTTGCTCTTGTCTATTTTGATAAGGATCCTAATGGCTATGGTAAATTACAAAACGACGCTTATATTCTTTAATACTAAAGATTCTATAATGAGTATAGAAATTATAAGGTATAAATGCAATAATCTAATTATTACCGAAATCTATCATGGCAAACTTTGTCATATAGATGAAATGCAATTCCAAAGTTGCATAAAGATGTATACTCGGGATTAATTGATTTTGACAAGTACAAATTATGCATGTCTGGTACAATGACCAAATCCTCTTTTACTTGAAAAGAAGAAAGGTCAGCATAATTACTGGTCTAATGTATAGTGATGCATACGGACTCATGTCAAGTAATGTTTCTCTTATTTCATCAATGATCATGTATACTTGATGGAAACTCAAACATAAAACTCTTGAAAAGTTCAATGGATTCATACTAGAATTAGAGAAACAAATAGGTAAAAATACCCTCACATTAAGATTCTATCAAGTGAAAGTATCTTAAAGATAAAATCTAGATTATTTAAGAGAGAATGAGATTCTCTTGCAGTGGACTCCTTCATATACACTTCAGCAAGGTGGTGCATCTAAAATGATGAATCGTTAATTATTAGATATAATGCGATTAATAACAAGCCATGTAAATCTCCCAAAATTGTTTTGGAGTCATGCATTGATTGCAGTGTGCAACACACTAAATCATGTCCCATCTAAATTGGTTAACAGACTACATACGAGTTATGGAAAGGCAATGGTCTCAATTTATTTTATATGAAAGTTTGGGGCCATGACGTTTATTTGAAGCGCCTTGAATCGGATAAGTTTGAGACTAAATTCGATAAATACATATTTGTGGGATATTCAAAGCGGATATTTGAATAAAAATTCTATTATTGTGAAGAAAGTTTTCATCTCACGACATATCGTCTTCTTAGAGAAAATGTTTACTCTATGGAGGATAGTGGAAGCAAAATAGAACTTGAAAGAGTTTAAGAGTCCACAGATATAGTTAACCAAGTAGATAAATTCGAGTTTGATCCCATATCTGATATGGGACATACTTTGGATCAGGAAGTAAAGACTCCTGAAAACATGACAGCTCTATGTGAATCTAGTAGGATCATTCGACCTTCAAGAAGGTGCAAATCCATAATCATTAATCAGGTATTAGTGATCCAGGATAATGAACCTGCTAGTTGCAACAAAATAAAGTCAAGTATTGACTTAAAAGAGACAGCAAGAGGCCATAATACTTGAGATGAACTCGACGTATGTGAACAAGATTTGGACCTTGGTCGAGCCTCCTGTTGGAATAAAACCCAGAAGGTTTTGTAAATAGTTTACAAGGGAAAGGTCGATGTGGATGTGAATATCCATATATACAAAGCAAGGCTAGAAGCAAAGGTTAAGTGTTGACCTTGGTAAAACCTTTCTCCTGTGGCCTTGCTAAAATCCATTCGGGTTTTATTTGCAACAGTTGCATATCGTAACTAAAGGTTATGATAAGTCTCTATGGAGCTGAAATCTTCGATTTGATGGAAAAGTCAAAGTGTTTGATTTTATCAAATTTGAAGACGAATTGTGTGTTTACAAGAAGATAGTGGGAGCATTGTCGTATTCCTAATATCATAGAAAACAACATCCCTATGTTTCAATCGTTGAAATAACAATTGTTAAAGGATTTATTCATAAACGATATAGGAGAAGCAACTTGATCTATAAAGATAGATCTAAAAGATTGCTTAACTCATCCTAATTTACATAGATGAAATCTTCTCATGATTTCATATGGAAAAACTGGTTTACTCTTAAATGGTGTATTGGAAAGGTTTCGAATGTGAAGCAACCGTTGATTCAATAGTAGAAACCTAATACATGATTACTTCAGAAGTAGCAAAGAATTGCAATCTGGATCATGATGTTCATAAATGAACTTGAAGTAGTTCTTAATATTGTTGATCACATGCCATTGTATTGTGATAACAATAGAGCCATTGCGAAAGCAAAGGAACTAAGGTCTCATCAATGATCCAAACATATATTAAGGCGGTATAATCTCATCAGAGAGATAATAAATAGAAATGACGTAAGAGAAGAACAAATTTCCACATTTAACAATATTGCAGATCCACTGACAAAGAGTTGTCGTAGTATAAATATGATCGTTATGTAAACTTATGATATTGGATATATAAGTGATTGGATCTAGTGCAAGTGGGAGTTTGTAAGTATTATGCCCTAGGTCCAATCAACTTTGGACATAAATACTTGTATATCTAATTAATGTAATTTAATGACAGATCTATTATTTAATTAATAGACAATTAAATAAATAATAGAGTCCGTAAATTTAAATTTTCGTAATTTGTTAATCACAAGGAGTTGTGATTGTGAGATATAAATTATATCTGATTGAATCTTAAATCGTCCGTGATCATAAGTAATAACGAGATACGGATATCGTTATTACGGATAGACCATCACGTGTGACATTTCTTACTTGTGAAATAAGTAGCTGATCTCACAAGTTAAAGAGAGGTGACACTTAAATGACACGTGGATATTTTGTTATAGAACAAAACATTGGAGACCCGCCGAGAGATTCCACATGGATAACTATCTGAGTGTCAGTGATTAATCTCTAACGTTCGGTAATGGAATTGATCCTTAGATTTGAGGCCGTCATGGTACCTTATATGAGGACAGTCATACTTTGGCGGTGTTGGATATTGTTCTGCAAAGGGCCGCTAATAGGACATCGTTCAGGTACGTCAAGAATCGTATGAAGGTTGTGATTGACCAATAACGGATTCGTCACTCTTAGATAGTAGGAGATTATGATCTGCGTTTCATTCAATTAAGTCGATAACGAAATCCTCGACCAAGGTGTACTCATAAGTCGAAAAAGAGTTTTCGACTTATATTGACTTAATAGTGGAGTGAAAGATATGATCGAAATTTGGGATTGACACAATTCCATATCTCGTAATTGATCGGATCATATTGACGAAGGGATTATAGTTTCACGGTAAATGAACGAATTTGGTTTTGTCATACCACGTGACATTTCCCGTCACATGTATTGCCCTGACACATTGCTAGATGTCAATCAAGGACGACGAGTGTGAATTGACGATAAATCAAAATGGTGTTTTAATTTATCAATTTTGATTAGATCGAAATAATATTTCACGTCGTTAGGTATCATGGTTGGGAACCTAATAGATCGCACACAAAAGAGAATTGGAATATTGCAAATTGCCAATTGGTTAATTTAACAATTGTTGGATAAATTAATTGATTTGTTATTTATATTCCCGAATTAATTAATTGGATTAATTAATTCACGGACCGAATTTAATTAAATGGATTAATTAAATATTGGACCGGACCAGGTCGAACCCATTTAGGTTTATATATAAATACATGGCTAGGGTTTGAGGTTCATATGATTTTCATTATTTTTGTTGGCACAAGAGGAAAACCTTAGTAGCTACGATCTTGTTCTCTGTGTGGATCGCCGTTGGAGGCTGAACAATTGGACAACTGTGGGTGGTGAATCAAAATTGCTGGAACGAGAAAAAAAGCAAAAGGTTTGCAGAATTCTTCAAAAGTACAATCTTTATCACAATTTCTATCTAAACACAAAGGGATTCTCGGTGGGAATCGAAATAATTTTAATTTTCCGTTGTACATGTATAAGTAGATTCCCAACATCTTTGTCCCAAGATTTTATGTAATTGCCTTGAAGCTTCCCGTAGTTAAAAAATGGAAACACGAGAGAAATGTATTATGAGGTTTAAACGATTCCAATATGGCCATCGTCATGACGTAGGAAGGAATAGTCAATATTGTCATGTTTCGTTAACCTTAAAGCCAAAGAAAATAGCTTCTTTATTTCTTATTTCAACAGTATCAAAGTTGCCTTCTTCTATAAAGGAAGCAAGGCCAAGCGTGCTTTTCTCAGAAATCAGAATGGTCAAAATTAGATTCATCTGGTTTAATCGCAATCCTATATTACATAAACATGTTATATGTTCTTGTTCATTATTACTTAATTTGTCACTAATTTTTTTGGGACGTCAACTCAAGCTAATTCCTTATTTTTCACAAGCTGGTCATATGTAGGATTCCATAGCCCTGCCCTAAGGTTCAAAAAGGAGGAACGAATTACGACGGATACCTATGCTCCTACAAACAAAGAAAGACATAAGAATCGACGAAATGTTTCAAGGAGTTGAAAATAAGTATAAATCCAGAGATTCTCGAATTGAGCAAGCTATCTATTTAACTCGGCCATGCCCTGATTATGCCACGGTAAATAGGTTTATAACAGGTCACGTGTGCAACGAACAACTAGAATTAATTAAACATTCGTCCTTGCATATATCACTGGAAAGTAAAATCTTCCTTATTACATACATATAATTTAAGTTTGCTTAAAAAGTACTTGTTAAAGTTTCAGAATTTGAGTATATCGAAGATATAATTTAACTTTCAAGCCTTCTTAAACATAACTCTAAATGGAACATCATCATCAGTAGTACTCAAAGCCAGACGTCTATATCCATCTTGTATGATAATACCAACATCTTTGCATATAACCCTGCAATAGTCACACACCGTAGGGCAGAAAACAATCTTATAGTCACGTTCATATTTTTCAATCTTGAACCAGTTGCTTATAGTTTCGCGGCCGGGATTGCCTTCAACTCCACCGGTTGTTATGAAATATTTCCCGGCTGATCCGTCGAGCTTCCATACAGTGGACTGAACGCAGGTTGAGGAAGCCGAGAACTTGATGTTTAGATCAGTGGAGACAGGGATCAGCCCTTTATTAGGATGGACCGGTGTAAATGTCAATGGAAGGCCATTTTTTACTTCCACTTGCTCTTGAACAACGTCGAGAGGGCAAGTTTCATTAATGAGGGCTAGTGTAAGCCCACCACCTCTGCCCCGAATGACGTAAAATCTTCCTTATTACATACATATAATTTAAGTTTGCTTAAAAAGTACTTGTTAAAGTTTCAGAATTTGAGTATATCGAAGATATAATTTAACTTTCAAGCCTTCTTAAACATAACTCTAAATGGAACATCATCATCAGTAGTACTCAAAGCCAGACGTCTATATCCATCTTGTATGATAATACCAACATCTTTGCATATAACCCTGCAATAGTCACACACCGTAGGGCAGAAAACAATCTTATAGTCACGTTCATATTTTTCAATCTTGAACCAGTTGCTTATAGTTTCGCGGCCGGGATTGCCTTCAACTCCACCGGTTGTTATGAAATATTTCCCGGCTGATCCGTCGAGCTTCCATACAGTGGACTGAACGCAGGTTGAGGAAGCCGAGAACTTGATGTTTAGATCAGTGGAGACAGGGATCAGCCCTTTATTAGGATGGACCGGTGTAAATGTCAATGGAAGGCCATTTTTTACTTCCACTTGCTCTTGAACAACGTCGAGAGGGCAAGTTTCATTAATGAGGGCTAGTGTAAGCCCACCACCTCTGCCCCGAATGACAGGCAATATGTAGTAATCAATGCCGGTCCGGAGTACTTTTCCAGTGATGTCGAGCACCGGCTCGGGTGCTTCCGCAGCTGAACGTGGACTGAACCAAGAGGTGATGGAGTAGAAAGAGAGGAGAACGAATGAGAGAGAGAGTTTAGTTGTTGTATTCATAGTTAGCCAATGAAAATGTGTGCGCACAAGAAAAAAAATGGATTTGAGCATCGAGTTTTATAGTTGCTCTGACCACACAATGGCACAAAGAAAAGAACTTTACATCTTTGACAAACTAAAAATTAAGCCATTTTGGATAGGGTTTGACTTTGATGTAAACTATATCTTAATTGTGTATTCATAGTCCAAATGGATGAAATGAAATATATCAAAGGGTTCATGTATATTGAAGATTTTGGAGTGTATGAAGTCTAATTATATTGTTCTTTTTTTCTTTTCTTTTTTTTTTTTCTTTTTTTTCAAGATGGATCAACTTTTGCGATAAGTTGGACAGAGAACATGATTTGTCGACTTTGTCCCAAAAATAACTAGAACCATACTATTACGATCCGTATAGCATTAAATTCCATAAAAAATGTCACATTCAAGGAATTCATTTTCTACTTTGACTGTTTGATAAGAAAATGGAAATAAAGTTCGAATTTCAAGATATAAATACTTAAAACATGTTTTTGACCATTGAGTGGAAATCGAATTCCAATGGTTCTAGTAATTTTTTCTTTTCCAATTTCCATGAAATTGATTCGTCTTTTCCACATTTGTAATCAAACGAACTCTTAGAGAAATCATGGAACCCCAACTATTTTTGTTATTGCTTTTTATTTCCGAACATTACACTTTGAGGCCCATACTAAGACTCCGAAATTGTTTGAGTTGTCTTTATTTTTTTTAAATCTATTATTATTCTTTGTTTTTTTTTTTTAAAGGGGTACTGGAGGGAGAAGGTACCAATCTTGACAACAGTTGTGAAAACAATAATACTTAATCCATTGCGATAAAGTGAATCGATAGATCTATTATTACTCCTAGAAATGAATAATTAGATGCCTTTAAAAAAAATAAGAATGAATGATTAGATCATTAGTTCACAATAGAACATTGCAGTGGGGGGTTGATAATTGAAGTCTGAGTGCGAAGTAGGCTCCGCCATTCACATTCAATTTGCTTTTAATTATAGTTAGAGCTTTAGTTGGGAACTTTAAACTCAGAGAGGTCCGAATTATAAAATGTGGAAAGAAAAAAACAATTTCTTTGATCTGAAAAGTCAATAGTCAAACCAGAAATGTGATAAATATTTCTTTTTTTCATTTGAAAAGTCAATAGTCATACCATTAATGAAGATAATATTTCCTTTTCCTGTTCCGTGTACAATGCTATATTAAAGTGCATTGCAAAAATTTCAAATTTTTGTACTTTGGTTGGCCTTAATACAAAAATAAATCAAATTAGAATGTAGAGTCAGCATTGTAAAAGGGCTAAGGTAGAATTATGATAAGATTAAAGGAAAAAGGAGAGAAATTATGCACCCACAATATTGTTATACGCATTTGCTCCTTTAACATACATGCATAAAATACATATAAACCTACTAGTAGAGGCAAAAAACCTTGAACATCCACCAACTATCCAGTAGAGGTAGAGTCCACTGCAGGCGTCGTCTACAATCTAAAGGGGAAACTGCCAAATTACTCGTAAATCAGGAACACCATTTCAACTCTTCGACTTTCAGAAGCTGTTCTAATTTTGAAATAGTCCAATATAAAGCAAATATGCCCCTACAAATTGAATATAATACATCATTACACCAATTTTGTGCAATGCCATTATCAGTATTTTCTTGTGTCTTAGAATGTTTCCTACTAACATTAGGATTGCACGTCTATATCAAACAAGCAGAGAAACATGTAGCAGGCTAAAATACTCACCTCAGTTCAATTGGATCATACGATATTAACTCTTTCACGAACTGAGTTCAAGTCTGACACTTTTTTCACACTGAAATTCACCAGAAAATGTAGAGATTTATACCACCATAGAACATCTTTTATTTTAGTAAAAATTTAAAGACATGCTGAACTTTGATAAGAGAAACCAATTCCTCTGATTTAAGAACAGAAGGGATTAAATTCTAGTAGTATTGCACCTTACAATCTGTCTTGGGGATGGCACCTTTCTCAAGGTTAAATGTACAACAGCACAGTTACTGATGTGAATGTTTACGACATATATAGCTAAGTAAACAGCAGAATTTTCACACTGGTCAAGCCCTTTCCCATCCCAATTATTATCTCATAGATGCAATTAAAGATTACAGCAACACGAAAAGCTTGATGGGAGCCCACTGGCACCACCCTTATAGCCAACATATGACTGCAAAAAAGGAAGAAATACTAACTTGTATAGTTGGTCTCCACAAGGAGCAAGCTGCTTATAAAACCAGTCTGGAACCAGTTTCTCCAGTTGCTCTATTTGCATCAGGACCTCACCTAGATATACACAGGAATGCTTTTGAAACTTTTACATAGAAATAGGAAAAGGGGAAGAAAATAAAGTACAGCATTTGAGCTTACTGCTGTCATCAATATCACAGTTGTTCAGAATAATCTTGTGAACTAGTTCTTCCTTTGTGATTGAACGAAAGCTAACAGATTGAAAGACATAGTGAATTAAGAGAACAAGGTCAGACAAACAAATAGATCTCTGCTGGTGTGAACTAAGTTTCTTCTGATTCAGCTCATGGTCATCAATGTAGCAACTGCTCTCCTCGACCTATCCCATTGAATTTTATGGTCAGTTGTGAACAATAAAATGATTTAATAATTGGTGTAACACAATGAAGTTTTAAACAACTTTACTCATCCTAAAATTGATAATAAACTTGCATGCCAACCTGAAAAGTAAATATTTGAACAAACAGTGGGAGCAAAAAAAATAAAGAATTGCATCCTGTGGCCTTTTGGGGAACCTTTATGCTCACTTTAGAATTGTTTGATGGTGCCTTTTACAATCCTTGGTGTTCCTAACCTGAGTAGTTTTTCTAGCAAAAGTACCCAATGAAAAAATAAGAAATTCACTTTCATATTCAAGCATGGAGGTTATTTAGCAATAAACCAATGTGCCTGCTGATAATAACAGTTATGGGCATGCCAGCCCGCAATGTAAATATGTGATCCAACACGAAGGGGAAAAAAGTGTGCATCCCTTGGTCTTATGGGGAATCTTTATGCTCTCTTTAGAATTGTTTGACGGCTTTCTTCACAGTCCTTGGTGTTCCTAACCTAAGTAACAATTTTCTAGCAGAAGTACCCAATTAATATTAAGAAATTCACTTTCATATTCTAGTGTGAATCTTATTTAGCAATAAACCACTGTGAATGCTGATACATATAGCAATATTAGTAATCATGATTATCTGATTTAAGCCTCCATTTAGAAAATTTATAAATCGATTTACAAAGAGGAGGTCCCACAAAATGTGAGGATAATAATGTGTGGTTGAAGTTTATGTTTGACTTTGGCTGAATTTATAAACCAATTAATAAATTGTATCCAAACAGAGGTTAAATCTATTCTATAAATTTTGCAAGATCGTTAGCATCTTAAATTATAAGAACATGTCCAAGACAGAACAAATGAGCATATCATCTTCAGACAGCAAGAAACAAATAAGCCCTTATAAAGGTCCACGGAGACTCTAAATTGCAAATTATTTAACCGGCTATTGCAATGTTAAAAACTAAACACAAGTAACTGTTAATTTTTACCTTGGAAAGAACAGTATCAACCTTTACAGAAATCCCTTTCATTTTCATTCGAGGAAGAGTACTGCAAACACCTTTAGAATACTCCATCTTATTCTCATCAGTAGTGAAGTCCTGAGAAGTATTATCACCATCCAAAGTATAAAAATCTAATGACCTCTTTGCAGTCAGATTGCCTGGTGTGGAGTTTTGGCTTGTTGCATTCTTGCACTCATTTTCACAGGTAAGCACTGATCTATTTGGTGAAATTAATCTCATTGGAGTAGATTGTGCAGGTGTTTCAACAACTAGATTGTCACTTTCTGCAGAAGCCAGCTTTGTAGGAGTATTACCAGATGTGGCAGAGCTAACACAATGTGAAGTCTGAGTCACTAGGATAGTGGCTGTGGATTCGGAAGAAGTGTTGGGAAACGTTCTTGTTCCTCCAGTTTCTTGATTAGCCACACAAGAAGATTTGATGGGTGAAAGTAGGTGAGTCTTTTCTTTCTCTGCAGCAAAAGCCTTCTGGGAAAAGCGTCCACAGAAAGATGGAGAGAGATGGGATGAATTTAATACATCCATCTGCAGTAAAGCTGACATGTCCTTGGAAGTCGGCTCCACCTTCATGTTGATACTTCTCTGGTTAAATGGTGCTGGAAGTACAGCTTCAGGAATGTCCAAATCCTGCATCCAGGAGACAAAAGTATTCAGTAGGTAAATATATTCAAAAAAATCCAAAAACTTCTCCCTCGTCATGATCTCTGAATAGAACTGCATGCTGGACCAGTACTCTGCAGGGGATGACAAGCTCCGAGAGGACCCAATGTTGAAATCCTCAGAATGAGATTATTTGAATCTCATTCTCAATAGTGCAACATTAGCGCAACTATGCAAGAAATTACTAATGGATGGGGTTTGGTTTTAATTGTAATCTATTGAAACTCTGCAATATAAAACAATTTTATGGTGATGATAAAAATGAACCAACTCAAATTAACAAACTTAGTTCTAGCTCCACGTTTGAAAAGTATAAATTTGGTTATGATTCCAGGTGAGATTTCCCCAATAGCAGAAATAAGAGTGTACTGAGAAATCATTTTTATTTTCTTGTTGAACAGTCCTGAATTACTTTGTTCTTTATAATTACAACATAAACATGTAAAGGACCATTACCTCTGGATGTGTAATGTAAAACCCTTTTAGACGGGAAGAGAAAAGATTGCTGAGGTCCATGAACACAGATTCTCCATGACGGCCTTCAATAACATCAAATAGCAATGCAATCTTTAATTCTGGCTTCATGCACTTGGTTTTCTCATCATGCACAAGTATCTTATCAATCTGAACTGCTTCAGGAAGTACATATTTTATTTGTGCAAGATGCCTTGATAGAAACTTCCTGACAGAAGGGAGGGAAAACAGAAAAGGAACAGTAGTCAAAAGAAGGTTTTCAAGTACCATAAATAAAGAAATATAAGAAATTCCAACAGTTTTCTGCAATGTTCTCTATAACTGCAATTCCAGTTTCTATCACTGTCAGAAATTCAACAATATTAACACCTAAGCACTCTCAACTGATCTGGAATTTGAGCTCAATCCTTAGAAGCTTTTTTGTGTAACTATAGATTAGGGACGTTAATAGAATACAATAAAAAATTCAAATACTGACCATTGCAGTTCAAATGTCAACTAGCAATTAATACTCATATGCATGCTTTACTCATCTAACATCGATTATAATGATTACAACCAAAAGTTAAAAAATAAAAAATAAAAATAAATATTGAATCCAGTGTTTTTTAGTTCCTTGAATATGATGTTAGAAAATGGGAGTATAAAATTTTTATTTTATTAATATATCAATTAGTTTAACAAGTAATGTGATAACAGTCACATTCTTTCTCCATGAGAATAGCTCAAAATTGTAATCTAAAGTGGCTTTGCATATTTCTGGGTCACGATGCAAGGTCAGAGGCCCACCACATAAGTATTCACAGCCAGCATTTTAGGAAAAAGTTGGTGGAGAATCTGGAGATAATCCAAAAGTAAAGTTTATATCAACCATTAGCATGAATGTTAACATATTGTGGACATTGATAAGATACTAGCAATGTTTATGATGATACACACAATATCTTTAGGAAAAATTGCATAGAAAAACTATATATTTGTGTGCGTATATAGCAGCAGTTACTACCTTCCTGCCAAAATTTCAACCTGATTGCTGATATTATGTAAAGTTGGTGATTTTTTCCGTAGGCTGAGCAATCTCAGTGAACAAATCAGACGATCAAAAAACTCAGATAATGCTGTATATCTGGAAATAGAGAGAAAAATATATCATATCAGTTTTAGGTTTTTCATAGTGAACATCAGTTTCAATTTCAGGCAATGCATATCCTGAGTGTCCCACTTTTCTGGAAGTTCAGGTGCTCCTTCTTCGCACTTAATCCGTGATGGCTCCTTTGTTTTCACTGGTGTTGGAGATGAAAAATTTCCTTCAGGTTGATGTTTTTGAAAAATTCCCTTTTCCAGAGAAAAGACAATAGAGGAGACACTTGACTTTTCAGCCCCATTCGAACAAACTTCCCATGTCTTTTGTGCATTACTCTCTTGTCCTGTTTGTTCCATGCTTTTGCGAGATGAATGGCACAGCCTGAAACAAAGGGCACAGATATGCAAGATTAAATGCATTTAAGTACGCATTACAGTATAACATAACTTTCTTTAGGACATTAAATAGAAGATAATTGTCACGGTAATGGAATAGGCAGACATAAAGCAACCTTGAAACCAGACCAATAGTCTATAAGATTCATTCAGCAGTGTCCGACACATAAACCTGGCAACTTTCAAATTGGCCTGAATCCATGGTGGACTACAAGGTAAACTTGTTGAATAGAAAACTTACAAAATCCCAAAACATAATGAATGGACAATTTATCACAGTTCCAGAGAAAACTACTCCCCACCAGAATTAACAGTTTCCATAAATAAAAATAACAGAGATGCAAAGAATGTGATTACTAAAGCCTGCATATTTAAATTTTGGAGTTTAATAACCTAGATTCAAGTCAACAGGTTTAGGGCAGTAACCAGATCAAAATATTACTACATTGCCCAAATCAAAATGAACCTACCATTCCTAAAACTTCCCAAAATAAAAAGAACTACTTATCTCAAGAGTTGTAAACACATTCCTTAAGAAACGTAAGGAATTTGATTTTTTAAGCATAACTAAAATCTGCAGATGTAAAGGTATTCGGAGAAGTAACCAGGGAAGAGAGGAGTTGCATTTACACTTAGGAGTAACTCGATTGCAGCTAAGAGCTTGAATAAATTAGAATAATGTATGTGGTATAGAGTAATTCCGATTTCGGAGATCAGCGGAACCCTAACGTTTGAAGGAGGGAAAGCGGGGTGCTCGTCTTTCAAATCACATGGGCCGAGTCTGCTCTCACTATTATTGGGCTATACCTACCTGCCTTTAAACCAGGGATAAAATTCCCATTTTCTATGAAAAAATGAATTTTAGAAAGTAGATTGATGGGGGAATGTGGGGATAAAACTATGAAAAAAAAAAATTGATTTACGTGTAATATTATTTTAATGAAGAATGTATGGTTGAAAAGAAGAGATAGAAAAAAGTATTTTGAGAAAAATGGGAATAAAACGGGGCATAAGTATAACCTATTTTAAAACTAAGATACAAGATTTAAAATTTTAAAAATTAGATATTAATTAAAATTTATTTATGAAATAACTAATTAAATATATATTTTATTAATTAAATATATTAATATCACAATTCTATACAATTTGATTATGTATTATCGAATTAATTGGTCAAAATTATTTTAGGTCACAAATTGTTTCATGGTCACAAATAAAAAAAAATTATAGGTTACAATTTATTTATAGGTCATAAATCAAAAATTGTATTTGTTACAATTTATTTAGTGATCACAAATTACAACTTATTTTACAATTATAAATTATCAAATTAATTGATCACAACTTAATAAATTGTGACTCACAAGTCACAATCACAATTTTTAGATCACATCTATTGGCCAAAAGTTATTATTCATTTTATCGATTATATATTATTTATTGTCACAAATTAACCAAATGATTGGTCACAAATAGTCCACACACCACCCTACCTCACCCCCAAACCTACCATCGACACCAATACGTGGTTACACATTAACCAACTAATTGGTCACAACAATCTTCATTCTACTACCATCGGCACCAATACGTGATATGCAAGCGATTTGTGGAGGCGACGGTTGAAGAAGCTATAGAAATCTTCAATAAGATCAAGCAAAGAGGATCAGTGGCTGAATATCAGGAACTCTTTAAGGATCTCAAATCTCAATTTATGTTGTCTCTTTCCCCCTTACCTAAGTCAATTATATCTCCATCTTTACTAGTGGATTGAATGAGGAAATCAGATCTATGGCGAAAATAATCAAACCAACCTCTATTTTCCTAAGCCTTTGAAACAGCCCTTTTACAAGAAAACACTATACTAGCTCTGAACAAAAACATAAAAAAACCAACCAAACCCAATTACAATCCAAATGGCCTAGCCTATCACAAAAAACCACCGAAACTATTTAAAATTTTCTCCCGCCGATGGCACTAAATTGACTCAAAAAAAACCAAACTACCCCCTCAAGATTCAAGACAATCACCCCCACTAATATACAAACCAAGAGAAGCCTTTGATTATGTTTTGAATGTAATGAAAAGTATACCCCTTGACATATATGTCAAAATAAAATGTTAAATTTAATGATGGTAGATGACGAAGTAGAGAGGGAGAATGAGGATGAAGAGAAAAATGCCGAGCAAAGTGAAGGGGAATAGGATGAGGAAATCATGGAACTGTTGACATATGTTCAACTTCTTCCTCAATGTTTTGATCATAATAAATAAGATTAATTTTGTTTCTAACAAATTATTTTGAGTGATGATTGTTCAATATTCAAATCAATCAAGTATTATCAAAGTTCAAATGAAGATCCAAGTGACAGCTAAACATTCGAGTCTAATCATTCGAGACAAAAGTTTAAAGATAAATGCCAAGAAAGATCAAGGGCATGAGAGACAACATTAAAAGATCAAGACAGGAAGTTTAAACTTCGGAGCAAGGACTTGATTTTTTAAGCAAAATGTAAAGGTACTAACACTTTGATATTTGACAATGAATAGTTAAGCTCAAAATCTCTCTATGCATTAAAAACATTTTTTGTGAACTAATAGTCATTCAAGTACAAATTTTGATCAAAAATAAAAATGACTTTTAAAAATGATATATGGACTTTAAAAACATTTTTATCATGAAAATTTAGTTAAAATATTTAGCAAAAATCCATACACTTCAAAACTCTCAAATCGGAACAAACGGGACCAAAATGTAAAAAGATCGCACTACCTGGGTGGTCAACCGCCTAGAGAGGTGGTCGATCTTATTCCTTCCAACGGTCCAAAATTTGACCGTTTTGACTTCTGATTTTTACTGTACAAACAGTTATATTGGTCTTCCAAACAAGAGGCGGTCAATTGGACAAGTCATCCGCAAATACAGGTTTTTTAACGTTTTGGACTCTATAAATATCCCCACTTCTTGCTTCATTTCATCACTTCTAAGAGCATTAAATTGAGACACTTTTAAGCATTAACTTTTGTTCTCTACTATTTATTTATCTCTATCAATTCATTCACTTTTGAAAAACTTTTAATTGAGTTTACTTTTAAAAATCATTTCATTTACTACAGTTTTTCAAAACTAACACTCGAACTTTACTCATTGCCACTCATTAAAATGTTGGCCTACTTCTCTCATTTTATACTCAACTTTGAATATATTTTTATTGTGAGAGAACATTCCTTTTGTAAAATTTACTTTTGGTTGAATAGTGGGTCGTGTTGAGATCCCGAAAAGCTCAACTTTGTAAAAGGATCGGTGCTCCTTAGTTGTTAGTCATTGGAAGCGTTGTAAAGATTGGATTGCACAATAAGTCAACTAATAATAGTGGAAAAGATTTTGCTCGTGACGGAGAGCTTGATAATAGGAGACATAGATCATTGCTTTGGATCGAACCTCCAAAACATATCGTTTCCCCTTTTTTTCTATCTTCCTCTTGCTATTTTCGTGTTATATTGTTTGCCCGATTAAATTTGCATTTATTTTCGAAAAAGTTTTAGATAACCAATTCACCCCCTCTTGATTAATCGTTCTTGGATTTTCTGGAACCAGGTTTTTAACATCTTTTTGCAAAACATCTTTTAAAACTTTAATTAAAACAAATTATTTATTGATTAGATTATCTTGAAATTTTGAAATATGCGGTATAATCAATAAAATTTCTTTTTGACAGTGGAATAGTTCCTTTAAGGGCTGGTCACACACTCGAATGGAATCTAATCAGTTGTTATTGACTAGACTTTTTTGGAATTTGCTTTAAAATCCCACCATAACCTATGTTAGATGCATCTATCTAGACAATAATAGATGCAAGTGGGTCAATAATTGAAAGGCATGGAATGCTTTTGATAGCATCTTTAACTTTCTTACAGCTAAAGTATGCTTGTAACTCCATGATGCCGGATGCTTTTGTAATCTTCAATAAAGTTCGATAGGATAACAACTTAAAAATATAGTACCATTTTCTACATCTAATCTATAATAGATAGCAATAAGTTTTCAAACTTGAGAAGTCTCTCATCTCAAAAAGTTGAAAGGATAGGAATGTTTGTGTATGTATATAAGTCATGATTTCCTAGGCACCGGTGCTCGATTTATGTTAAGTAGCAAGTGACATAGCACATTACAATAGACGGTGAAAGATAATGGTTAGTTTTAAAACTAATTACACCATCTATTGTAGTGTACCAACTGAGTATGGTGTTTAGTATAAACTATACACCGGTGCTTAAGAGATCAAATTCGTGTATATATATATATATATATTTATTTATTTATTTATTTATTTTACCTTTAAGTGTCATGCTATAAATAAAAATGTAATTTTTCCCCTTAATTTTAGCTTAGACAATAACACATTATTATTATTGTTTTTTTTTTTTTAGGAATAAAATAACTCTTAACATATTTTTATCAAAAAGAAATAATAATAATTCATTTTTTTGCAATGAATAAATTAAAATCAATTCAAAAAATATGACTATATAAGGAATTTTTTAAAAAAAATAAAAAATTAGAAAGGATATATGTGTACGAACCAATCATTTATGGTCATTTTCTCCATAAACATGTAGACGTGAAATAGACGAGAAAAAAGAATCTCAAACTCTTGTATCTATGTTATTATTTTCATCGTCATATGTTTAGATACTTGCAATCTACAAGATGCCTAATAACCCTTCAATATAGTTATCATGTGGATAACTTGAGTTCAATCGAAGTACATGAAATTTAGTCTTGAAAAATAAGAAGAAAGGACAAGTATTATTACTCTACATAGAAACTTATTTTCATAACTCAAAACAGGAGAGGGGGGAAAAAAGGACAACCAAGATGCGTGTTGAATGGACTGCCTCATCAATCAAAATTGATCTTGTATCCGATAAAGACAACCATAAAGTGTGTCGAATATATAGAAACTTATTTTCATAACTCAAAATAAGAGAGAGAGAGAAACGACAACCATTAAGTGTGTTGAATGGACCGCCCCATCAATTACTTAACACGTGTACGATAGTCTAGTCCTTAAAATGTCATCCTCAAATGGGCTACAATTGTTTTTTATCTTGTATATTTATTTCATATATTAGTAAATTTGAAATTTTATTCATAATATGTTATTGAAATATGAGAGCTTATTTGAGAACATCATCTGTATCACTACTCGTTTCAATTTGTTGAGCTTTGATAACCTTTAATGTCTTGAAGTCCCTTATTAAAAGATCAACTTCGTTAACATGAATTAACCAAAACTCATGTATATTGATATAAAATTTATGTATGCTTAATTTATTAGCAAACGAGCTAATAATATTCACACCAACTATAAATTCTAACAAGGCATGTATATTTGCATGAACGAGATAGTAAATTCCACTTGTGGACTTGTAGACACTTGTACACAATTAAAATAAGTTCATTCAGGGGAAAAAATAAAAATCTCATTGCGCTCCATTTTTTTCATCAAAATATATTTTTTAACAGTGATTTAATCCCATTTTAACAACATATTATTCAATAAAAAATGTTACAGGTAAATCTATAACTTTTCTTTATTTTTAATCACATATTTTCTATTAATATACTATTCAAAAATACATTTTTGAACAAGAATGAGGTTCAAGCAATGACTTATTCTCTGTTTTTGCAGTCGCTCTACATATACTTTTTGAACCCATGAAATAAATATATAAACTTGCAATAGGGGGGATTTGAAAGTGAAAGATTACTTGACCAAACCAGACAAGCATTGGCAGCCGTCCAAATTACTACCATCTTCCACATGGCAAAACATCGTGACGTAATCGTGATCTTGATAAGACCTGTGATTGGGCTAGAGATTGGATGGCTAATAAGTTTTTTTGTTTTGTTTAAAAATAGTAAGGGTAATTGGACACGTGTCATTTGGTCAGCTAATCTCTGTACATTGTGCCACGTTTCAGTTCATTAAACGTTACTTTCAATGGATATTTTTGTGTCCAATCCAATAGTGTCACAAAATTAGTTTTGGCCTTTGTCAATCTAAATAATTGATGGGATACCCATCCAAGTGCAATAATACATATTCAATAATGGATAGTTAATATTACGAAGTTTACGAGCATACCAATAAATTTTAGAGAGGAATCGTTTTTCTCATAATATATTTGTTCGTCGTCTAAAAAATTACATGGTTCAAGGATTGACGACTTCCTCCTGTTGTAATTTTGACACTAATTACTGGGTATTGTTGATCGAAAAGGGTCAACGAAATTGAATATTTTGACATCAATTTGATAAGTAAAAGTTGTTTTCTCTTCCTCTACAAAAGTCTTCGATGCTAAACAAAAAAATAATGAAATATTAATAAATATTTCTTTAAAAAGTTTATAAGTTTATAATTGGTATTATAGCTTTATAATGTTAGCAATCACTTGAAAATATCAAAATATTGCAGGAGTTGTTGCCATCCTGCTATCTATCGTGACTCTGCCAATAAATATAAAGAATATGACACACAAATTTAATATTCCCTTCTCTTTTACACTTGGAAATATATCAAAATGTTAGTATATCACGAATTGAGATTTTATTATTCTCTAAGTTTAGAATTGACGAGATGGAAAAAAAGGATATTGTAATGTACTTTTTAGAATTTTAATTTAATAATGAGTTTCAATATCTATATATTTTGAAAATGGTCGATTAACTAGTCAAACGATATGGGACTATAATTTGGCTCCCATGTTATTTTAGTCTGTTTTTCCCTTCAATTTTTGACCTTTTGTTGATGAATTCAAACTTTTTGGGTGGTAGTTCAAATGTCAAATCTGCACCTAAATTCAATCAAGTGGGATTACAAAACGATCTAACCCAATATCATAACTTTTAATGTTTCTAAATTTTGATTAAAGATAGTCACAACTTGTGACTAAATTTTGTATGAGAAGAGGAGAGACAATGAAAAATAAATTATATAAACAAGTCATCTCTATTGTCAAGAGTAGCTGAAATTTGACTCCATTTGTAGTAGTTAACCAAAGTTACATATGCTCATGAGCGACTTTGTTCATATAAGTCGTTATAACTCAACAAGTCAGGTGAAATGCAGGAGAAAACCTTCCCCATTCTTGAAATTGAAAGTACAAAGAACAAGAAAGAGTCATGCTTGTAGAAGTTCTGGCAACTCGAAAGGCAAATAAGAGGTTGCAACTCCCAAGTCACTTGAGTTTATGAAACTCTTTGCAACTTGACAAGCAAACTAAAAAATATGAGCATTTCTACTCATTAACGTTATAAAACTTAAATTTGAAGTAAATGAAAAAAGCAAACCTTACTTGTACGAGTCTTCTACAACTTGAAGAGCAATACAAAGGGCACAAGCGAGATTTCCTCACAAATCCTTATAGCTCACAGGCAAAAAAAAGGACGTATACGTGTGTATAAGTTATTACGTCTCAAAGAATAAAAGCAGATGACATTTTCCATCCACAGCCCCAATGTTCAAATGAAAACTCGCAACATTGGCTAGACAAAGTCGTTCTTTACAAGGATTTCACCCCCAAGAGTGGACTCATTGTACTCACTGGATCCTTAATTTTTGACATTGAAAAAAAAATCCACATAATTTTTAACCCAAATCCAACAAAGTAAGTCTTTTTGACATTGAGAAGAAAATAAGCCTACATGATTCCAATTTTTCACTTAATCGTACTTCCCTTTCCCCAATTGCCCCCGCAATTTCAATTCTCGCCCCCCTCTGAACAATAATTATGAGTTTGCCCCTATGCAACTCAAATAACAAAGTAAAATACAAAAGACAAAAATCACGGCAATAGAATCCACACATCATTTCCAATCTAAGATCGGTTGTAAAGATTTAATAGTAGTCCAGAACAAAGTGTGAGTCATCTAGTGGAAACACGAGACCTTTCTTGATGAGCAGCTATTATGATAAGGTTGTCTGAAAGTTACGCACCATTGGAAAAATAGTATGCTAATACCAAGATAAGTTCGTAGAAATAAAAGTAAATATACGCCTCACGTAAACTTGACAAGAATCGTTCAATTATTTCTAGAAACTAATTTATATTTCATTTTCACATTATTGGAATCTTTATAGGAGGGCATTCTAATTTTTCTGTCTGTATAGTGTCTTCTCCTGAGACTGAAAGGCTTAAATAGTGATCACTGAAGTGTAGGGATGGTGAAAATCTTTAAGTTTTCCATTGAAAACTGCACTAGGAGAAAGATGGAATATGACCAGTAAAAGGTATTATTCGGCTCCATGCATTACTTTTTTATTACATATAAGTCAAATGTGGTAATAAAACAGTAAAAAAAACTATCTTCTTTCATCTTCTATCTCAACTGGGAGTTCTGTTTGTTTCACCTATTTTTGTTTTTTTCTGTTTCCTCTCTCTTTACTGCTACGACTACTCATCAACAATACCAATCTACGTTCATCAATTCAAGGTGGAAACTTTCAAGTCACCCCTCTCTTCTTACTTGTTTCTCTGTCTTTAGGGATATTTCAACAAGATTTGGGATTCAGTTGAATTTGAGTGAGAATCGATTCGATTTTGCTGATTGTCTGACCACTTCTTTATCAAATCCAGAATATAGTCAATTCCAAACGAAGAAAGGCCCATCATCCCTTTCTTTCTTTTTCTGTTATATTTTTAGTTATTTCTTGATGGAATTTTCTGGGTCCTCTATATATACCAGGTACTGTAATTTTGACTCTGTTTATTTCTTTAGCTAAAATTCGACAAGATTGATGGGTTTTTAGGGTTTGAGCTAGCAAAAATTGAAGGGATGTCATTCTTTTTTCTTTTTCCTTTTTGATATTAAGTTTGGTTAATTAGAAGTTCTACACTTGAACAACTTTAAGCAAATATTGGTTTTCTCCAGCTTTCGCAATGAAAGTGAATTGCTTGGCTTTTATTTATTTATTTTAACTAGCCCTTGATTTTCTGTTTGGTATTATTATTGCTAATTGGGAATGGAAGACGTACAATTTTCATATAGAAGCAAGCATGGGAGAGCGCAGTTTCACGCCTGTCTTGTGATATTGATGTCACCTTTCCTTTTTTGTTCAGTCACTTAATGTTCTTACCTTGACTGCATTTGTATCTAACTTTTGAATTTTATTTATTTTTTTCCATGCAGAAAGTACTTGAGAATTTGACCAGCTATATATCTTCTGATTATTAAAGGCACAGGTAAACATATTTATCTCTATTCATCATTTTACACTCTGACCTCGTGAGTTGCCAACTGTTTTGTTGGTTGTCTTCATTTAATGAGTTTAGACTTTATCACTTGGCTTGTGCTTGTTTTTCAAATTTCCTTGTGATGTTTGCCTTGTTCGTGTATGCTTCCTTAATGTTACTGTACAAGATATCGTATCTGAAAGAGTATTTGTGTATATGTGTACATTGAAAGGACCCTTGCCCTTCTATTTTCTTTATTCTGGTTTTTAATTTCGCATGTCCAATTTTTTATTGTTTACTGATTGGGCTTGCAAATAAAGGAAATTCAAGGATATGGGATGCTTTGTATCAACGACGAAGGACACAGGTGGAAACAGAAAGAGACCATCAAACATTGGTGAGGTCTCTGTATTTGTGCCAGGTTTAAGGATTCCTAAGACCGTGGATTTCTCCCAGGCATTAGGCGATCATTTGTCTAAAAGTTTAGTGGAACGTCTTTCTGCACTTAGAACCAGAATTGTAGTTATAGCTGCACAAGAAGCTCCGACTATTACAAGAACAAGACGGAGAACGGCTACTCAACATGGTTATTTGTAGAACCCTTACATTTTTTGTTTTCTGATATTGCATCTTGATGTTTGACCAGATATTTCCTGCAGGCGGTTCAACTCTGGGAGATCTTCTTCAGGCTCTCGAAGATTATTTGCCTGTTCTTTTGGGTTTGGTTAAAGATGGTAAACATGTTAGGCGTCAATCTAGTTACCAGATATGCTGGGAAGATATTGTTCCTAAGCGCTAATTCTTTTCATTGTATAGGGAGCCCATTGCAACACAAAGTACAGTTTGTTTGGGTCAATCAGGAGGATGAAGCGGAGGTCAAATTAGCATTTTCAACTAACAACCTTCTGTTTAATAATTTTTTTCTTTTCAGGGCACTACTCATCTTACTGTTATTATTTATTATCCAGGAAACGGCAATGTATAGTGCTTGGTATGAAGTATTGTCAGTTTTGCACTTGATGGCAATGCTATCATTGTCCCAAGCTAATCTTTTGCTTCTTCCTAGAACATCTGCTGATGGTTATCAACCAAAGATGTCAGAAGGTAGGTTGTTATTGCTAAATCCAATTTTGCAGAAGTAATATGGTTAAGTAGTTAAACTGCAGATGTCACCAAACATCTTGAAAAGATTTGTAACTTTTACATTTATTGAATCACATCTTCAATCATATATTGTTTCTTTTAACCTGTTATTATTTTAAGATGTGGTAGCATAGCTGATTAATGTGCGGCATGTGCACATACTTAATAGTTAGTGCGGTAGCATTTGTTGGCACTCCTTCTCTTATTGAAATTGGATTTGGAAGATTACTCAAAAATATTCAGTCGTCGACATGATTTTATTAAATCATAAAGAAACCCAACATAAGAAGGAACTCATGTGATTGAAAGTAACTATTGGTAATGACCTGGAGGAGAATATAACATGACTGTCCTATGATATTCTGGCTAGGTGTGGACATAGCCTGTCACAATTAGGCCTTGTTTGAGCCCCATTAATTTTTTGTAATGTATTACGGAATAGTAAATTGATGGGAAATGTATGGTTAAAAAGAAGGAAATTTTTTTGATTTGCGTGTAATATCATTTTTAATGAAGAATGTATAGTTGAAAATGAGTAATGTAAAATAAATAATGGGAATGAATGTGAAAAAATGGGACTCAAACAAGGGCTTAATTGATGACAAGGATGTGTTTGCACTCAAATCAGTGTTCTCACAAATGAAAGCCAAGATTTTCTTCTTAAAACATAATTTATCCTAGTGATGAGTATGTCTAATGCTGCATAAATGTTTATTATTCTCTATAAATAAAAGTCCATAAGAGATATAGCCAAGACGAGCAAATGTTATGCCGATATTAGAACAACACTATTTGAAGATTCTATCAGCTCATTATCAGGGTAAAATATGTGGCTCCTTGTATTTGGGTGAGGACCTAGACATGGATATTAGATGGACTCAGGGCGTGCAGTTTTTCAAAGAGATGGGATAGAAAATGTTATGGAGATATTTAATGGAAACCCTTTGACTTGCAGGTAGTCATATGATATTAGAGGTCATCAGTGTGAGAGGATTAGGTCAGTGTGAGAGGATTCCTAATCCTCTTAACATTTTTTATAATTTTGTGAATCGCCTTTCTTATTAAAAATTGGTCATTGAAGCTACCGGATTCCTTGGGTCTTTATTTTGTTTGCCATTCTTTTGCTTATACTCCATTTCAATCTTTTTTCCTTTGTATCTTCCTTTAATTGTAAAATTACTCTTATAATAATCTGACCATTCTTCCTTTCCAAAATTACTCTTATAATAGTCTGACCATTTTTCTTTCCAAAATTTCATTATAGCCTGGAAAGTATAATTGTTCCCATCACATCGTAATGAGTCTTCTCTGTGGCCAAAACTAGAAGCATAATAGAAATATTTTGTGTGTCTGGGAGAGTTTTTGTGCTTCTATGTGAGCTAATATATGTTTTAAGTAGACACGTAAAAGTGAAGCCCTTGGAAGATGTAGTCTCCACAAGCTTGTGTTTTCAGTGTACTGCAATTTCTAGCTTTTGATTTGGAGCCAAAATATTCTGATTGCGCTTGAAAGTATGCAAAGAATCTTAATTTAACCTTTTCTTGTTTAGCATCTGAACTACTTCGGTCGATTCATATCTGTATCCAGCCGCATGCTTCATACATTTTTTTTCTCATTTCTGCCTTCTTTTGTCCCTTTTCCAACAGAGAGCAGGCGATCTGCTATTGATATTTTCCTTAAGGCAGCCGGTTACCTTGACTGTGCAGTCCGGCATGTTCTCCCCCAATTGCCTTCCGAACACAGGTATCTTGATGATTACTTTTGGTTAGCAATTAGAATCATCTCCATGAACCGTGGGATCACCCTTTGACCATATGCATTAGGAGAAATCTACCTGTGGACCTTGCAGAAGGTGTTCTACGAGCACTTTGCCTCCAAGCGCTGGGCCAGGTATTCACATATCGAGCTTTTGATGGGTACCTGGACTAGATTTAGGTTTTTCTGTTTATGATGCTGCATAAATTAGACTACCAGAAAGAAATGAAAATGGCAAATATTTTCATAAAAATATATCAGTATCTGTTGGTGTCTTCCCAATTTTTGAATGGTCTATCATTAACAACATAAAACATGACAATGTTGATTGCCATAAGAGGATATTCAATTGAATTGTGCTTATAAACATTGCAGAAATCTTGTGTTACCAAAGCTATGGTCACAAGTCAACATCTTTGGTGACTTGAAATTTTACATGTGTGCGAGGTCACTCCAAATGACAGGGATATAATAGAGCTTTGAAAGGATTTTACAAGAAAATGTTAATGAATCAATTATTTCTTAAACAATTGGCTAAAACATTTCATGTGATTACTTGGGTAGAAACTTTGGCCAAAGCATGTTAGACTTTTCATACAGTGTTCACTTTATGTTGCCTAGTGTTATTTATGTAGTTAGGATTGTGATAGAACCTGAGAAAATGTCACTTCACCCAACACACATTAATGTAACTAAAGACAGAAAATGAGTTCAATATTTCATAGATGAATGTTGATTACACGGAATTAAAGGATAACAATTCTGATAATGCAAAATGAAAGGAAAGAAATAACAAGGATAACTATGGACGTTCAAGAGGTCCACTACTCTCCCAATGAGTACCAATTTCAGCCTGGTATTCCATATTCTGTTGACTCTATTTATAAGCTGTTGCCCATGAAACTTCCTAACAGATTTCCCTAACCATGCAACTGCTGCACGTGCCTTCTCTTCCCTGGTTAATTCCCTTACTGCCCTTGCTTACTTTGCTGCGTCTCTGGTACCTCAATCTGATTTTGGGTCTATCATTACTTCCCCCCATGAGATCCACCTTGTCCTCAAGGTGGAAGGTGGGGAATTGCTGTTTCATCAAGTCATAGGACTCCCAAGTAGCTTCTAAGGGTGGAAGTCCTTTCCATTGGATTAAGACATCCAAGCCTTTGATGTTGGATCCCACACCTGGTCTCACTCCCAATAATGCCTCCGGTTCTACCAACATCTCTAATTCATCACTTAATTTCTAGGGTACTACCTTCACAGCCTGTACAACTCCCACAGCTCTGCGCAACCGGGAAACATGGAAAAGAGGATGAATGTTGCAGGTAGGCGGTAAGGCCAGCTTATACGCAACTGATCCAATTTTCTTCTCTACAGTAAAAGGTCCATAAAACCTCGGAGATAGCTTTTTATTTGGTCTCACGGACAAGGTTTTGTGACGATTAGGTCTGATTTTCAAATAAACCAGATCGCCTATCTCAAACTGCACCTCTCTTCTTTTTTTATCTGCAAGGTCCTTCATTTTCATTTGAGCCCGCAACAGTTGTGCTTTCAGTTCCTCTAACATGCGATCCCTTTCTTGTAACTGTTGGTCTAGAGCTGATATGGATGTGGATCCTTTTTCAAATTGCAATAATACTGGTGACTCGCACCCATAGACTACTTGGAAAGGGGTGATCTTGGCTGTAACATGATAAGAAGTGTTGTAACACAGCTCAGCCCAAGGTAGCCAATTGAACCATGATCTAGGCTGAGAAGATGCAAAGCACCTCTGATAGGTTTCTAGAATGCAGTTCAATACTTTCAACTGCCCGTCCGACTGAGGGTGGTAAGATGTACTTCGATTGAGCTTTGTTCCTTGTAAACGAAACAACTCCTCCCAAAAATGGCTCACAAATATCTTATCCCTATCTGGAACTATGGAACGGGGCACCCTATGTAGTCGCACCACCTCTTTAACAAAAATTCCAGCCACACCTGCCACTGTAAAAGGGTGCTTTAGGCCTATAAAATGGCCATATTTACTCAATCGGTCTACAACCACAAGTATTGTATCCATGGAGCTTGATTTAGGAAGGCCTTCAATGAAATCAATAGCTATATCCTCCCATACCTTATTGGGAATTGGAAGAGGTTGCAGCAACCCCCCTGGTGATAGGGCTAAGTATTTGTTCTGTTGGCACACCGTACATCTGCTAACATAACTGTGTATCACAGACTTCATACCTTCCCAATGAACATTTGCAGCAATCCTCTTATAAGTTTTAAGGAAGCCAGAATGGCCTCCCACTTTACTGTCATGCCCCTCATATAGCATTAAAGGAATCAAGGTTGATTGTTTTAGCAGCAGCAGTCGGCCCTTGAATAACAATTGTCTATTTACCATTGCATACTCGGGATGGCTGGTAGGATCTTGCTCCAATTCTTTAACAATACGAAGTAACTGAGGATCTTCTCTCATCCTTTTTGTTAATATGTCCAACTGTAATACTGACGATATGGATGAAGTCATCAACACAACAGATGAACTGACTCGAGAAAGTGCATCGGCTGCCTTGTTTTCACATCCTGGCCGATATTGAATTTCAAACTGGTACCCCATTAGTTTATGCAGCCATTTCTGATATTCTGGGTTTACCTCCCTTTGTTCTAACAGGAATTTCAAGCTCTTTTGATCGGTTCTCACATAAAATTTATGCCCCAGCAAATAGTGTCTCCATTTTTGTACTGTGAACACCACAACCATCAACTCCCTCTCATATGCTGACTTCACCCTTCCATTCGGCTTAAGGGTGTGACTATAAAATGCAATTGGGTGCTGGTCTGGCATCAAAACTGCCCCTAGGTCGGACCCTGATGCATCAGTTTCTATAACATGCATCAGTTTCTATAACAAAGGGCCGGCTGAAGTCTGGAAGTGCGAGGACTGGTAAGGACGTCATGCCGTTTTTAGCCTCTAAAATGCCTGCTCCACTACCTCATCCCAAAAAAATTTCCCTTGCGTAATCTCTCCGTTAAGGGCCACGCCACCATAATCCTTCACGAACCGATGATAGTAGCTTGTCAGCTCTAGAAACCCATGAAGTTTTGTTAATTTTCTGGGAGTCGGCCATTTCAACATAGCTTGAATTTTTTAGTAATCAGTGGCTACATCCCGACATGATATGACGTGCCCCAACTATTCTATCTCTTCTTACCCAAAACTACATTTCTTGTGATTGGTATACAATTGATGTTGCGATAGTATTCCCAAGACACACTTTAAATGCTCCACGTGCTCTTCCAGATTACGGCTGAACACCAAAATATCATCGAAGAATACTAACACAAATTGCCTCAATTGCTCTTTAAACACCTCATTCATAAGCGATTGAAAAGTGGCAGGTGCATTAGTTAGCTCGAATGGCATCACCAGAAATTCATAATGCCCTTTGTGCGTCCTAAAAGCTGTTTTAGGAATGTCCTCATGTTTCACCCGAATTTGATGATACCTCCCCCTTCAGGTCTAACTTAGAGAAATGGCTGCCCCGTGCAATTCATCCAATAATTCATCTATCATTGGAATGGGAAGCTTATCCGGCACTGTTACCTTGTTCACCGCTCTATAATCCACACAAAAGCGTTACCCCCCATCTTTCTTTCTCACTAGCAAAACTGGACCGGAGAATGTACTAGTGCTTGGTCGGATTATCCCCGTTGCTAACATTTCCTTCACCAACTTCTCTATCTCATTTTTCTGCACGTGTGGGTAACGATAAGGCCTCACACTAACCGGTCATGTCCCAGGTTGAAGATTGATTGCGTGATCCTTTCCCCGCCATGGTGGCAGCCCCATGGGCTCTGTAAATGCTTCTTCAAACTCCTTCAAGACTTCCCCAACTTGGGCTGGATTTTTTCGTTCCCCTTTTTCCTCTTCAATTCCCAAACTTCCCAGCTCCAGGAGTATTCCTTCCCCCCTTCCCTGAATGCTTTCATCATCGCCTTCAGAGTGACCACAGTCTTACTAAGACTAGGATCCCCTTGCAAGGTAACGATATTCCCACCTGACCAAAATTTCATCGTAAGAGATTTCTAGTCCACCTTCGTTGGGCCCAAGGTGGACAACCACTTCATTCCCAGGATTACGTCGGAGCTCCCTAATTCCAAAGGGAGGAAATCTTCCACCACCTTCAAGTTTTGAAGGAATAATTTTACTCCCTTAAATACCTCTGTCCCTTGCACAGCCAGCCCTGCTCCCATGAATACCCCATAACTCAATGTCTCGGTTCTCAGCAAACCCAATTTTCGCACTAAGTTTGCCGACACGAAGTTATGGCTGGCCCCACAGTCGATTAACACCACCACTTCCTCTGCCTGAATTTTTCCTTTAATCTTCATGGTCTGTGGCGGAGTAAGTCCTACCACCGAGTTTAAGGATAATTCCACTACCTCCCCTGCATCACATTTTTTCCCTTCATTCGACACCTTTGCTACTGTTTCTTCCCCCCACTGCTCGTCTCTTTCTTCATCAAATATCAACATTACCTGCAACTCTTTGTTTTTACATTTGTGCCCGATTGAGTACTTTTCGACACAGTGAAAACACGGTCCTCTCTCCTTCTTACTCCTCAACTCAGCTTCGTTGAGTCGTTTAAATGGCGAGGGAACTGCTCTGGTGGGCAAAGCAGCTCCGGCACTTGCTCACGAAGTCGTCAATTTTTGGTTAGGGCTTGGGCAATTGTACTGGTTCTGTCGTGATTTATTGAAGGACCAATTGAGGCTGTTACTTGTTTTCCCTTTAATTGGGCCTGAACCGACTACAACTTGCAAAGCCAGATTCTTTTCTTCAATCCATTGGGCCAATTCCATGATCCGGTCCAATCCTTTGGGCTGTATGACTCTAATTTCGGCCCCAATTTCTGGGCTCAACCCATTTATGAAATGGCCCTCTAGCATAGCCTCTGAGATATTCTCGATCGGCGCCGCTAGAGTCTCAAACGCGATTCTGTACTCCCCAACCGACCCTTCTTGCCGGAGGGCCAGAAAACGCTCCTCTATAATCCCCTCCATGGATGACCTGAATCGAGTTCGCATTAGCAATTTAAGTTCCTCCCAACTTCGTATGCCTTTTCTCCTTTGCTCCCATTGATACCATGCCAAGCGTTCTCCTCGAAACATAGGGCTGTCGTTTCCAATTTCTCCGCCTCCGTTAATTGGTTCACCTGGAAATAGTGTTCGGCTCTAAAGATCCAATCGTCTGGGTTCTTCCCCAGAAATACCGGCATTTCTAACCTCCTTCCTCTAACCTCCTGCCTCCAATTTCCGCCGGTAACACCCCCTTCTCCTCGGTATTTCATTTCCAGGTCCGGCGTAATCTCGGACTGCATGGTATACTTTGACTCCTTTGTTTCTTCTTGGCCCTTTCCCTTCTCTCTCTCTGTTTCATCCCATTTTGACCTCATAAATGTGAATTGTTCTGAAATATTCGCCATATTCTTCTCAATGCTCTGCATTCTATGCATCTCCGCTTGCATCCTTGAATTGCCATGTTGCATCTCTTCCACCTGCTCCTGCAATTTCTGATGAGCCCCTTCCAAACTCCCTACCCACTCTGTTACATTCACCATCTGGATCGGAATTGCTCTGATACCAATGATAGCACCTGAGAAAATGTCACTTCACCCAACACACTTTAATGTAACTAAAGACAGAAAATGAGTTCAATATTTCATGGATGAACGTTGATTACACGTAATTAAAGGATAACAATTTTGATAATGCAAATGAAAGGAAAGAAATGACAAGGATAACTATGGACGTTCGAGAGGTCCACTACTCTCCCAATGAGTACCAATTTCAGCCTGGTATTCCATATTCTGTTGCCTCTATTTATAAGCTGTTGCCCATGAAACTTCCTAACAGATTTCCTTAACCATGTAACTGCTGCACGTGGCTTCTCTTCCCTGGTTGATTCCCTTACTGCCCTTGCTTACTTTGCTGCATCTCTGGTACCTTAATCTGATTTCGGGTCTATCAGATTGTTAGTGTTGGTACAATGCAAAAGTCTATTGGAAGTGGGGGGAACTATGTAGTACATTGTGGTTTTTTGAGATCCAATTTGGTCATCGCCTAGAATGTTTTTCGATTCAGTGGAGTTGGCAAGGATGTTATAAGTTGGTAGATTAATCGATCAGTTTCAGACAGATGGTAACTATTGGACTGGTTTACAATGTCTTGACTGCTGCTAGACAACACTGCTGGGTTAGAACTTTGGGTGGTAATGCATGAGTTGGAGTCTTAGTTTAGTTTCTTCTGGACTTTATGACTGTTTACCTTTGTCAATTACACGTGTTATGATTATGTTTTACTATCTTCGACACACATAAATAAACATTTATCTGATGCTCATTTGAGGTGAGCAACAGTGCCTGCTCCATGATAATTGGATTTATAGTCTAGCCTGCGATGTTATAGCTCCAACATAATGCATGAGTTGGTGTCTTCATTTTTAGTTTATTTTGGACTTGATGGCTTTTTTGCCTGTGTCAGATTATTTAATTACTTGCTTTTGATGCTCACTTAAGGTGAATCACCTAATCTTTCTATTGCTTGACATCTTCTCGTTATCTTGAGTAGGGTGTTGATATTCAACTTGGACTAGCAATTGACAGTACAAAGGCCACATTAGCTGTGAAGCGAAGGCTTGCATGTGAGATGGTAAAATATTGGCAGCAGGTAACCCTTCTCTTTGTCTGTATGCTTGACCAAACAAAAACCAGTTAAAATTATTTGAGAAGTTATATTTCTATTCTCTCTATCTCGCTCTTTATTTTTATTTTTTTTTTGCTTATTATTACCTCCAGGCTTATTTGATGTTTAAAGTCTCTTATAGCTAATGGAGACTTTTTTTTTTTTTTTTTCAACTGCTTATGGAGAATGTTTAGAAATTTCATCATTCTAACCTTCCCATCCTGCTTGCTCTTGTCATCCTAATTATAATCTGCTGCTAAACGCCCATTACTAATTTTATTTTCTCTTGTGCTCTCGATTATAGAAGTGGCTAAATGTTGAATAGATTTGATTTTGTGGTAACAATATCTTTTATTAAAGATTTACACTTTATTTATTTCTCTATGTTAAGAAATATTAATTTTAATAATTAAGCCCTAACCTAAAATGGTCTAATTCAGCTAAAAATCTCATCATTATTGTCGAATTTCACTCAAAATGGCAGATTAGTGGCAATGGAATTATCCAGGAATATCTGAATCAGAGTCTCGGTTTTATGAATGTGAAGTCTAGACTTCACTGTTTCACCTAATCAGCTTCGTTTCAGCCGTTGCTACTAAATATTGCATCTCATTTTTGTTCCTGAATTTTTTCAACTGCAGGTATTAGATCCATAGTGGCTAAAAATTACATAGCCAATATTAGAATCAGTGTAATGATCAGTTCAAGCGTTGAGACAACTATTGAATTATTTAATTAAATATACACAGTATTAGAATGTTGCTAAAAGATAAGTGGATTTGGATGTGTAAAGGCCATCATCTGATGTGGTCTAATAATTAAAAATTTCTTTGTTGTACGGAGAGCTCTTTGATACGAATAGACTTTGTTGGAGATGTGCCAGACGCTGCAGAACATTGTGCACTAGAACTCTGTCCACAAATCCACTCTCATAGTACAAAGGACACACTTGAATCAAATGCGGAGTCGGATAATTTTGTCTCACAACAAAAATACTTTTTATAATTAGCAAATTTGAATGTCATCAAATATTTTTACTCGATTTTCATTTTAGGATTCTTACTTGTTTCATTTACTCTGACCTCAACAAGTTGATTATCACATATTAGACTGGTTTAAGCACTGAAGTGAACTTAAAACGAATAATGGTCTTCTGTCACTTTGTAGGCTCAAGATAACCTCATGAACCTACCATTGGCAAATGGATGGGGAGAAAAGCATAGGTTCTTTGTGAAGTGGAAATACGTTGAAGCTAAGGTACCTTGTTTGTATTTCTCTCACTTTATTTAACACTTTCAAGCAGCAGTTCTTATATTATTAGCAAGTGCCTTGCAAGTAGGAACTTAATCTAAAGTTACTGGGTGCATAACTACTATGGTCTCTTGTACCTCATTCCCTGTTCTTGCAAGTTGATGATATGAAAAGTAACGACAGAGTGACTACTATGATTTTTAACTTAACATTTACTTTCTGAGGTTTGGATAGGTAAATATTCATAAAAATTTGATAATTGGGATGAGTATGATTTAATCTGACCTATAACGAGTCTTCATCAGCATGCTTGTGAATTTGAAGCTCGAATTGATGCAAGAATTTCATGTTCCTTAGGCCGCAGCATATTACTATCATGGTCTGATTCTTGATGAGGGAAACACAGAAAAGTCTCATGGAATGGCTGTAGCTGCTCTGCAAGCAGCGGATGAGTATCTCAAAGAAAGCAAGAAGGCTTGTGAAACTTTTAATGCATCCGTTCCTGTCTCTAGGTAATGTTGTGCTCACTTTCCAACTGCTTCCATGTTACAAATGGGATCGCTTGTCGATTTCTTTCTTTATTCATATTAATTACTCAGAAATACATGTGTACCTTCTGTTTCATTATATAACATCGAGAAATCTGAGAAACTGGAGATTCAAAAGAGATCAGACCACACCATTTATGATAGCTGTAATTTACTCCTGTTTTGGTCCGCCATAAGAATTTGGTTAGGAACATTTGAAAGGTAGCTTCTAGAACTGGGGTATACAAATATATAAGCCTTTGGAATGGTTATTTATTTATTTATTATTTCTTTTAAAGCTATTTATAGACAGTAATTTCTTATTTGTGTCCATGTAGCATGAACTAAAGCAAATAATGTTAGTATTTATTTTTTCCTATCAGTGTACTGTAAAAAAATGAGATGGCAGAAAGAAAAAGCATTGTATATCTTTGCATGCTTTTGGCATCTGTTTGGTCCTCCTAGTGTTACTTCTATCCATGTGACATCTCCATTTTTACCGATTTTGCCTTAGATCCAATTTTAAATGAAGAAAACAACATTTTTCTACTTAACCACGTAACAATTTTTTAAGATTGAATAATAGGTTAAGATGATCTTGATGGCTCTGAGAATCAGTAAATTCCTATTTCTGATGCAGGAATCCACCTCTTTGGGGAACAATGAAGTATCTCTCAGAGAAGATTCCCAAGGACACTTCTAGCAAGGTCCGAATTAACAGGGATCTATACTCTAGTGAAAAGTAAGTCTTCTTTAGTACTATAACTCCAAAAAATACAAGTCATTCATGCACGTATATCAGCATAGACGTGATACAAATATGGTGGTGGGGCTGCAACTCTTACGTTAACAGCAGGAAAACAGTGAACCAGTTGAGCAGAAATTTTTGGGGTCTTTGTTCACGGAATTTAATAGATATTCTTGCCTAACCACATGGAAGCAAGGTTGGTTCTTGTCTAATTTAAACTAATTCTTTTGAATGTAGAATTATGGAGACAGCACCAACTTTGCCTGACTTTGCATTGGCTCTGAAACCTGATGAATATCAGCTTCCTATTGTTGATGCATTTTGGAATGAGGAAACAAACAAGGCCCAAGTCAACCACGAGAAGCTTAAAGGGTAGCTTTGCACGGTGTTCCACACATATCAAACTCTGAAAAAATACATGTCTGCAAATGCAATGGTACATGCTGTTCATAGACGAGGAAGGGTTGTAGAAGAATTACCAATCAATTTTTTGGTTAATTTGCATCCCAAAGGTCCATCCTCTTCTCTTTGACTTTTCCTTTTTTACCCCCCTTTTGATCTTCTTGTTAATTGAATCGTTTTGTATCATTTCCTACAAATGTGTAATAATCCCCCCGTGAGAAAGATTTGTACAACGACCTTTTATGTTTACTTTTAACACTGGAGGGAAAGGATAAAGAATGAATTTATTTGCCAACGTAAAAAATTCTTTTTCCTGTTGTCGTAGTTCATAAAAAATAAGTCGATAAGAACTCTTAGCTCACTCGTCTGTACTCAAAACAGCTTAGTCTCGCCTTGGTGTGAGTTGATAAAAAAAAAAAAGGCTAATTGTTGAATCCTTTTCATCTGGTGTACATAATTAGCTAAGAAGAAGTCCAATACAGTTGTTTACTTGCACGTTGGGGTACAGCAACACAAGGCATCAAAGTGTTTATCACACGCAACAATCACAGAAACGTGCATTTGTTCATATCTGAGTCACTTTTCCTTTCCAAGTAACGAAGTTTACGTATTAAGTTGAGGAAAAATCTGTTCCTAATCAACATAGAAGGGAGGGTGAGTAAGTGTAGTCCTTACCTGTTTTAGATACATATTGACTAATGAAGGAAGATCAGATTTTGGTTTCTATCCACCCAAAAGAGATCCTTTCAGTGTTCTTCCAGTAATAAACAATCCATAATGAGCTGCTATTTCTGGTTTCATTTTTGGCACGCCAAGTTCAACAGAAAAAAATCTTTATAGATAAACAATTCAAAATGAAATCTTAACTATGTAGAAATGAAATCAAAAAATTACATCACGACTGTAAAGCTGTAGTAATCATTCATGTATCTTCTATTCTTCTATGCATTCAAATGCGTAGTCGGCACTAGTCCTTCATGCGCTTTATTATCTGGAAACTATTCGACATTGATGTACCATCAAGAATATAGTTACGAGTGTGCAAAAGTTGCTGTGAAAAAAGAAAATAAAACTGTGCGATTTGTTCATCATAGTCATTTGGATTCAACTAGTCTGTCACTCCACAAGCCTTTGCTGTAGCACAGAGGAACATCAAATTGAAGATCTTTTTAGGAATTACATAATATGCATTTTGAGAACATCAAAGGCAGGTTTAGTGCATTTTATTTGACAGTATAATGGACAAGATTTCAACTTTTTTATTTTTATTTATTTATTTATTTTTGGGTAATATTGTCCAATATTATATGCACTCTACCAAACATAACAAAGGACAAAAGTGCAATATCTTTTTTCTTTCTGGGCTCGCGTCTACCTTGCTTGGACTCCTGCAGCTTTACAAGTGATGAAGGCAGCTCCAACTTGTTTGTCTGAACTTGAAGTAGTAGTTGGAAGTGACATTGCCGGAAAATCAAGATTCAAGGGATGTGGATAAATTATTATTGAACAATGTTATTCATAGTGAATATTATCAGTAATCATCCTGCATGATATAAATGCATAAGGTCATAAGAAATTACAACATTAATGTATCAAATAACAAATTGTCATTTATATGTCACATAGGATAACTATGTTTATCAGTAAATTTCACTATGAATAACATTACTCTTATTATTTGTTACATTCTTTGGTCGTTATAAGCAAAGTTGTGCGCACAATCCTACTTCGATTCTTGGGCAGTGGTAGGTAAGTTGGTTGTTGATGATGAAAGGGTTGTCATATAATTTTTTATTTTTATTTTTATTTTTATTTTCTTTACAAAATACCTTATTGTTTAGTTAATTCTTTTTTATCTTTATGTTCCCCTCGTACTAATTTAGAAAAAAATTAAAATTAAAATCAACATTTTATATTTGATTTTTTTTTAATAAGTAGAATTCCAAGTAAAAGAAGAACTCGCCACAAGACATGGGAGATTTCTATAATTTTGTAAAGACGTGAAGTATACGTATGATAATAAGATAAACCTTAGAGATATCTTTAATATTAACTCTAAATGAAAATGAGTCAATCAGAGTTAAAGACAATTTTCTGCAAGGTCAACTCGTCGATATCAATCAATGACGAGAAGAACAATTCTCACTAGCATATTAAAGTTTACCCTCAATAACAACCCAAGAAAATAATATCGTTTTTTTCTCAACGAAAGTGAAAAGATAATGAGAAATCAAACATAGTGGATCTCAGGAAATATATGGAATTGATCCATTTTGGAAAAACGGCCTTTGACCATTCAAAGGCTAAAATCTACCTAAAATACCTCCAACATAAAATTTATAACCAAGCAATCTTAATTTTAAAAGAGTTCAATTAAGCCTCAAATTTTTATCTTTAATTTTTTCGCCTCGTAAAAAATTGGTATCAGAGCCTAGTAACGAAACTGAAGAATATTTTATTTAAAATGAATAGAAAAGATAAAATGATTTTGGAAGAATTACAAAATATTGGTATATTAACTAATACTAATCGTATTAAATTGCAAGAATTAGCAACAAATTTAAGTACCGAATATAAATCTCTAAGTGAAGAAATAAAACAAATTAATAATTCTCAACAATTAATTGAAACAAAAAATAAAGTATTACATATCTTGGTAGATGAATCTGTCAAATATGAAGAGGAAGATATTATCATATATCAATTTTTAAAACAATATGATAATTATGCGAAGCCTTTAGGAAAATCAGACATTATAAATCAAGATGTCATGACTAGTATAAAAAATATGGAATTAAATTTATAAATTGTTAATAACAATATTAAGATGGGAATCCTATATAAACAGATTGAATCAAAATTTAAAGAATAAAAAAATAAAAAAGATTTTTATGTCACTATTGAACCATCCTTACCGGCATATGTTATAGAAGAATTAGAAACAAAATTCTTTGAAACTACTAGAGAAGAATTAGAAGCTTATAAACAAAGCTTAGAACAATTAGCTATGCAAACTGAAAATATATATATAAATGATCCTCGACCTAAAGAAGAAACTACTGAAATTAATACTCCAACTTTAAATCAACAAGTTGAAAATCGGCCATTAATTGGAGAAACTAGTGGAACTAATATTAATACAGATTGGACTCAAGTTGAATCCAATGACTGAAATTTTGAATGGACAAAAGAACAAGAAGACTACAATTTTAGAAAGGAACCAAAAACTATATCAACCAAACATATACGTCTTAGAGATAATAATCCAGTAAAATTATTTACTGAACAAATTCTTACTACAAGAATATGGTTAGATATTGATGATAGCAATAATAAAAGTGAAATTATTGACTCTTGGGCAAAAGCCACTGATTTAGCTGTTGCTTTTCATAAATGGAATATCACTTAAGCCTATAACTTTATAATCCACACCTTTAGAGGAATTACTTCAGATATCTGGAGAAGAACTTCTAAGAAACTAAAAATAAAATTAAATATGGCAAAAAATCTACAACTACCATAGATAGCAATGAAAGTTTAGATGCTAAAAATTTTAAAGTAGTGTTAAAACGAATTGAAAATTTTTTTAGACGCCTATTATTAGGAAAAGTTATACCTGAAACTAAAATTGATATGATTACTCAAAAAAACTTTACAAGCTGAAAGAGAAATGGAACTATTAAAAATTTGTGATATGTGTGAATTAAATGAATATACTAAGAAAAGTTGAAAAGATATATATCAAAGCATCTAAATCTATAAAAGAATGGAATCTATCAGAAGAAGATAAAAAATTATTAAATAGATATTTTCTTAAATTACCTTGGCCATGGGGTCAGAAGCTATGTGAAGATTACCAAATCTATTGGAGTAAAATAGAATGGGAAGACCCTAACCACAAAGCTGATAGTTTAGAAAACATGGTAAAAAAGCTAGTTTATGTTGTTATGGTGAAATAACATCTGTACCACAATTTGGCTGTCACCAACCATCTAAAAAATCATATTATAAAAAGAAATTTAAGAAATATTTAAAACCTTGGAAGAAAAAGAAAGGCTTTAAGAACCAAAAAAAATATTTTAAGAAGAAAAAACCTTGGAATAAGGAATATAACCAGTATAAGAGGCCTCAGAAGAAATCTAAGGAAGAATTTTATAAAAAATGTAAATGTTTTACCTGTAATGAATTAGGACATATCTCTCCCAACTATCCTAATAAAAATAAAAGAGAAAATGTTAAATACATTAAATTAATGGAAGAAATTGAATACGATTTAGAATATGAGATAATTGAAGATTTAGGCAAATTATCTGAAACAGACTCAATTTATGAGCTTGATATTAAAGAGATTGAGGAACCTGAATATGAACAGATATATATGACTCAAGAAATTATTGATATTGTTGAAACTACCTTAGATAGTGAAGAAGGAACTTCACAAACTGTTATGTTTGATGAAGAGAGATATGGAGCTATAAAAGAAAAACAGATATCTTTAAGAGATAAAGATGTTTTTATTAGACCAATGCTACCTTGGTTTAACAAAACTATATACATTGCTAAATATGACGAAGTACCTATTAACATAGAAAATGTTAAGGGCAATACTACTATACCTTTAATTACAAGAGAATGGGTTAATAGTGAATTAGCAAATATTAAAAGATCCACTAGAGAAAGATTAAAGAATATAGTGATTGGAGGAATCCAAATCATGATTAAAGGATACTTTAGAGAAGGAATGGATATTCCTATACAAATATATTTAATGGATAACAGGATACTTCATGATCCTATGGACGCTCTATTAGGAGTTATCTTTGGAAATCTTGTATATAAGAAAATTATATTTACTATAAGACCTGAATTTGCCATGTCTATATTAGATGAAAACTTAAGTTTAGGACTAAATCTATATCACAAAATTGATATATTATGTATGCCACCAAGAAGTAAAGCTGTAACTTTACATTATAAAGCTTTATATGCTTTTACTACTACACACCAAAAAGAAATCAATAAAATTTCAAGAGAATTCATAGAAATTCATGAATACTTTAAAAACCTAGCACAATTTACATCACTAAGAATGCTAAGTGATTATAACATTTCGTTAGCACAAGAGATATTACTTGATTTTCATCAACGATCTAGAAGAATAGACAGTAATTTAGGTAATCAAGGATTAGCAACTTTGAATACTTTTGGACAATTTGTAGTTAGAATGCCTAGTAGAAGAATAGAAAGAAGTATCAGTACTAGAGAACTCTCAAGCTCTAGTAGACCATCTACAAGTAGAAATTACCCAACTATACCTAGAAATAGTATTGATATTGATTTAAAAAAAAGTGAGGAAAATAATTTCCTCATATTAACAAAATATTTCAATAATCAAAATAACTACGAAGAAATCATAGCCCTTGTTAATACATGAGCTTGTACTAGCCATATAAGAGCAGACTTAGTTGATCATTTAGTAGAAGAAAATTTGCCACAAGGAATAACCCTTACATATTATCATGGAATTAAATATGAAATTAAAACATTTGTTAATCTTGAACTAAGTTTTACTGACATAGAAGGAGAACAATTTAAGCTAAACCTTAAAATTCATAAAGATTATAGAAAAGGAAAAGATACTAGCCCAATATTCTTGGAATGAACTTTCTTGAAAATGTATCACCATTTATTATTCAGAAAAACATACTGCAAATAATTGTTGAAGGTAAACAAAAAATGTTGCCTAGAGTTAATAAAAACAAAGAATTAATTTATATGATACAAGGAATTAGATCAATCAAAACTAGTATTTTGAGTCCATATATTGAGATAGCTCTCAATTTACCAGACTACTGTATGATAAGATTTCATGCAATACTTGATACTGGATCAGGAATTTGCCTATGTAAAAGAAATGTGTTCCCAGAACACTATTAGAAAAGAGATTATAAGAAAACAACTTACGGTCAAACAACTAACGATATTGTTGAAATATATAGAGATTTTGTAGAAAATGTTCCTATTATTATTGGAAATAGAGAATGTTTTATTCCACGAATATTCACTACAGATAAAATTGGATGTGATATCCTCTTAGGAGAAAATTTTATCCATACATATAGCCCTTTTACACAAAATAAAGATAGTTTTCAATTTACTATACCATGTAATCACAAAATTAAAACATCCAAAATTTATAAAGCAATTGGAATTGCACATCATCTGATTAACGATAAACTTAGATATTAGAGTTCTGCAGGTAATCGTGGTGAATGTTATACAGAAATCAATCAAAAACAAAGAATTCCTGTATTAAGAATTAACGAGTTAGAAGAAGAGTTAGAAAATATTAAAATTGAACTAAAAGAATGTTATCATGAACATCCCTTAGCGAAATGGGACAAAGATAAACCTATGGCAACCATTGAATTAAAAAATCCAGATGTTAAGATATCAGAAAAACAATTCCCTTATAGCGAAGAAGATAAAAAGGAATTTGAAATACAAATTAAAGAACTTTAAGGATTAGGAGTTATAAGAGAATCATCTAGTCCGTATAATAGTCCTGCATTTATGGTCAGAAATCATAATGAAATTAAAAGAGGAAAAGCTGGAATGGTAATTGATTATAGATATCTAAATTCTAAAACTATACCTAATAGCTATAAATTACAAATAAAAGATTTGTTAATAAAACAAATACAATGAAGTAAATTATATTCTAAATTTGATTGTAAATCTGGATATTGGCAAATAAAACTAGACGAAGCATCAAAACCTTTAACTAGTTTTACTACCCCTAATCCATTAGGACTATTTGAGTGGAATGTTATGCCATTTGGATTAGTGAATGCCCCAACAATATTTCAACAAAGAATGGATAAGATTATTGAGCAATAAATTTTTTTTGTATTGCTTATGTAGATGATATCCTTATTCATAGTAAAAATTTAAAAGACCATATCGAACACCTTAAATTTTTTTTATTATATTGTTAAAAAATATGGTCTAGCCCTATCTGAAAGAAAGGCAGAAATAGCTAAAACTGAAATTGAATTCTTATGGTATATTTTACAGAAGAAAAAAAAATACTCCAACAACCTCATATTGGAAAAAAGATTATCGAATTTTCATAAATAATTAGAGATAAGAAAGAACTGCAAAGCTTTATTGGATTATTAAATTATTCTAAAAATTTTATAAAAAACTGTTCAAAATACAAAGTCCACTTTACCAAAAAGCTTAGAAAATGAGTTGTATGGGAATGGACACAAGAAGATATTGAAATGATAAACAAAAAAAGAAAATATGTGAAAATTTACCTGAATTAAATATACCAAATGATGATGATTTCTATATTTTAGAAATTGATGCATCTCTATTACACTAGGGAGCGATCCTCAAAAGAAAAGAAAATCATAAAGAATTTCTTTGTAATCCATTGTGTAAATGCCCAGAAGAACTTGTTACATAGACTTTAGGTGCTTTTAAGGATGTAGAAACCAGATATGATCGAAAATAATGTTTGGTTGTTAAGAAATGAGTAGCAAAATTTGAACCTTATTTGTTATCTAAGAGATTTTTTATTAGAACTGATAATACTCAGGTGAAACCATTATTGACAAATAAACTTGGAACAAGTGCGGCTGAAAGGCCACTTATTAGAATGCAAATGTGGTTTGCGCCATTTAAATTTGATATTGTCCATATTAAAGGAAAAGACAATTTTATTCCAGATTTCTTAATCAGGAATGGAGCAAATCAAGAAGAAACTGGAAACATTGAAGTCCGAGATGGATGTGAAGATAGCTGCGATAGAATCCAGGATAATAATGATGGAAATGGTTGCTGCCAAGCCAGTGTCTGAGAAAGCCAACATGGCTATATTATCTGAAAGCCCTAATGCCAATAAGTCTGAAGGTTTTTATGCCAATATTGAACAAGAAGCATTTAAGCTTCATAATCTACCTGTCAAGGAGAATACTACTTTGTCTCCCTCACCGGAGAAAATTTATACAAAGAATAGTATCTCTACACCAGAGCTAAATCGCTCAAATAATATCAAAGCCTGCAACACCCCTGGTATTAAGGATATCAAAAATAAAGATGATTTTATTTTGGTATACATATTGTTCAATCTTGCCTGCTGCTGGTTCACCAGTATAGGATGATGGATGAAAACTCTAACGTATGGAACTTATAACAAAGTTAATCTATATCCACGAGCCCCAGCTTATTGGGTTCGCACTCTTTATGAAATGTGAAATATAATTTGTATTTACCCGTCTGAATCATTAAAAGAAATTTCTATGCTGCCAAAGGATGTTGTCCGAGCTATTGAAAGATATTGTCAAGTTCTTAAACACAAGAATATTTATATTAGGTTTTTCTCTGCTTGTCCTGAATGGGAAGATGAAGAAGATAAGTTGCTTCCAGTAAGTCATGTCATAAGAATAGCTACCACTTCTAAGCATTTTCGGCCAGAGAAAAGTGAAGTTCATGAAACTACACCAGAAGACACTATCAAGATGATAGCTTTCCGTAGAGCCAAAGGATATAAGAAGCAGTTCGAGCATATCCAAAAGGTTATTGAAGAAAAACAAAATACTTGGGTTTACGAGTCACAATATCACATGATTTACAGTAAAGCTGTTGCACCCACTAAATAAGAAGATTGGCACTATCTCGACACATGGTATGATCATATCTTTGAAAGACAAGCTAGTGAGACATAGAAAACAAAAGAAGAGTTGTGCAAACAGTTTTGGCGTTATCCCAATCATAAGTGCGAGTATTGTTGCACTGAAGGTGATATCTCACCAATCTCTCTTGACCCATCAGAATTTCCGAAAGAGTGGTTTGAGTCACATATGGAAAAGTAAGGGACCCCTTTATCACTACTTTATCAAAATCATTTTGATAAAGAAAAATTGTGGGCTTACCTCAATTATTTCCAGATTACGACAAGAAAACTTTAGGCCAGAGTAAAATACCCAATATCTTACACAGTGAAAGCAACAATAATGAAGGACACCTGTGGAGTTTTTTCCAGTCTATAAATTGAAGACTAGTTCTCAAGAGCAAGTATCGAGTCTTAAATTAAAAATTTATCTTTCTACCTTGTATTCCGAATCTTATAACAATTTCAATTTCTTTCATTGAAGTGAAGTGTGTAATAAGATAATCTCTATGGAGTTCTAATTTCCTTAGAGAAAGTACCAAGAGTGTTGCCGAAGTATGTATAAGTACTCTTATATGAGAGATATTAGCGTGATATGTTTATGAAAGTTTTTTGAAAATGGTGTATTCTCATCCTTATTACTTTCTCAAAAACTCTTTTCTTACTTATACTCTAACGGTGAAAACATTGAGGGTTAGTGCAAGTATCTTGTTGCTGTTTTACCGTGTGTAGGTGTTTTTAGCATTATTGAGAAAGCATTGAGAACCCTGTTACCATTCAAGGTGATGTTTTAATAAGGAGTTGAAAGGAAAATTGTGATTCCGTTTGATCCATTGTGAGATATGCAAAAGAGTCAGAGAGAAAAACAATTATGTGCGGAAGTCATGTTGGACCATAACCCACTTTCTTAAATTCAAACGGCACCGATCACTTATATATAAGTATATTAACATATGGGTGCAAGCTCAAGGGAAATCTCATTGATTTTACTCTGCCTTTATCTTCTGCTTCAATAGTGTAAGATCTTTTATTTATTTATATCAAATACTTGCATTAATTGTTGCACTCATGTTATTTATGAAGTTCTTTTGACTTTTATTCATAGCCTAAGAAGAAAAACTTAGGGATTATTTATCATAATATTGATAGTTTAATGCCAGGAAATACTATTAAAGAATTAGATAATTTACTAGAAAAAAATTTTAGAAAATATAAATAATATTATTTCTCAGTTAGAAAATATTAATATACTATCTGAAAAATATAATAGACTTAAAGAAAAATACAAATAATATGTTATAAATTATTCTAATTTATTAGATTATAGAATGGATTTATATTTTGATATTCAAAATAGAAGGAATAAAAGATAAAACTAAAAGATAGGACTAATTCTGTAATATACTTATTTGAATTCATTAAGGGTAATTTAGACTTTTTATCAATTGAAAAGGCTAAGTGATTTGACCCGGCCATTTTGAAAGTTATCCCGTGGATCCCATGAAATGTCCGTTAAAAAATAAATAAAAATTGTGAATCTATAATATATGTGGTTAAAAAAATATTTTGATTGCTTAAAATCTAAAAGAAACTTTACCAAACAAGAGCATACTAATAAAAAGACAACTCAATTAACATAATATATTCTGCAAACTAAATAAAAGTGCTTCAATCATAAGACTAAAGCCAGTATCTGTTTAAAACTAGCGTCTTCAATGACCTACTAGAACTGCACCAACTCGGCCAAACCGCTTATAGCTTAGGAGTAACCAGGCTTATATACGGTGTATACACAAAGAAGGCCAAACATGGAAGCTATATATCTTCTTTGCATGAAGCTTTGTTATGCCCGAGCTGCTTGCACCTGGTACAAGTGACAGTCTTCTTATCCGGATTCTCTGAATTGCTCTCTTCTTCCTTGTGTTGATTTGGCATACGAGGGGGACAAGGAGGAAGCACTTCCATGGTATCTGAATCGCCATTTTCTTTTCGTATGGGCTTATCAATGCCAGGAATAGGATTTATAGACTTCGAATACGTTGATTGGTAAGTCTCAGTGGTAAAATATCTTGAACAGTAGTTATAAACATTCTTCCCTGCACAGTTTAAGGCAGCAATAGCATGGTAGCATGGAAGCCCACTTTCTTTCCACTCTAGGCATGTACATTCCCGCTTTTCAATATTCACAACATGAGTAGAATTATCATGGACCTCAAACAGAGTATCTGACGAGGCAAAGACTCTCAGTCCAAATGCTTTAAGAACAGCTTCTTGCATCAATTTCTCTTTCGAGGGAGTGAGTTTTGTCGTCCATTTACTCGATTCCATTTGACGATTATTTATCAACTCATTCATCATGCTCCTCAGGGCTTCTATCTTCTGCATTATAGTTAATTCCCGTTTTTCCTCCATCAGCTTAGTGTATGATTCTGCAACATTCTGTGTGATATGATTATACTGCTCACCTTTGAATGACAAACGAGTCCAGTTCTCGGGTTCAATTTGAATAACCCAATCATAAACATGTGACGAGATCTGTCTAATTTGCTCTGTGAACATTTTGAAATCATTAAGTCGGACAGCATGGGCAGCGGCTAGAAAACTTTCAGGTAGGACACATCTTCCATCCCCATGGAATGGCCCTTTCATGTTCCTCTTGAAACTTTTCATAAGGTGGAAAATGGAATAACCGTGGCAAGCATTCTCGAATACCTCAAGAATAGACTGCTTTAACCCCTTCTCTCTATCTGAGACAAATGTTATGGATTGTGAAGTTGACATTGCAGATTTTAGTTGCTTCAGAAACAATAGCCAGTTATCCTTGGTTTCAACATCAACTATA